GCGCATCGGTAGGCACCGTGTTGCTCTTTGGTTGCGAGACCACAGTGCACTTCCAAGAGAACTGCTTGGGGCAGCTAGCACGGAGGCTGGTTGAACTGCGATGTGAAGTGCTCTGCCCAGCGTTCCAAGCGTCGGTGAAGGCTGTGTTATTAGCGTACCGTCTGCTTCGCAGATTGTTTTGGGGCATGTAGCACGGATGAGCTGGAATAGTTGCCGGGTGTTTCCACACCTAGCCACTGATTCCATCTCCTTTGCACGTAGCGCCCACCAGGCCCCTCTGTCGTCTCTCAAACTCTTTGTGAGTTCATGCTTCAGGGAGAGGCGCCGTTCATTGTACTCGCTGTCTACTGGGATTGCCCGAAGCGCGTCGAGGAGTCTGAGAGAGTTGGAGGAGACCCAGTGATTTACAACTCAGCGGGTTAAGCCACAACTGTGTAAACCGGCTGAGTGCATTGCATTTTGAATGGTTTGAACGGNACCATCTAGCGAACATTCTGGAGCCACTAACGTTAATTTTTTTCCAGAGGATGGAAAAACAGAAAACAGTAACAAAACCTGAGAACTCATTGGTATTTTAAGGACCACTTAGTGCTGCTTAACAATATCAATCGAAAAAGATATGGAATTTGTTGCATCAAAATGCACAGTCGTATCTCTTCGCCACAAAACTCGGTTTCCGTACTTCCCGAGATATCAACAACTTCCGTATGCCTGGAATGAGAAAGATCTTGGTCTCATTGTTCAACACGACCTAAGTTGTTCTTTAAACTCCTCCAGGGCGTCATTCACGCTGTAAGATATGTTGGCTTGCTAACACGAATATTTGCCAATTTTGAACCTGTTCTGTTAGCTTGTTTGCTGTCAGACTACATATGAGTCCACATCCAGCATGCAATTCAAGCGTAGAATTCACGGCTGCGACGCAATCGTAAGATCCTGGAACGTCCACAAAGAATAGCTATGGAAATGGTCAAAGGACTGTATTTCAAGACTTATATGGGAAGACTGGAATCATTGGAGCTCTTCTCCATACAGTATCGCCGAATTCGAGGGGACTTGATTTTGTCGTATCAAATAAGGCAGAACCATGATCACCAATGTCGTTCACTGATCGCTTTTTTGCCCAAAACTCACCTCAGGATGCACTCATTCAAATTAGTTCTCAAAAAATGTCGACTAGAATGCCAGCGTCATTCATTCACCCTCAGAGTGGGCACTATTTGGAATTCTGAACCACCTCACGTTGTTCCTATGCCCACAATTGATTCTTTCAAGTACAAACTGGTTGGAACTTTGACAAGTCTTAAATTTCAACAAACGGAGCAGTGCACAAAGCAAGGAGGATAAGTTGTGATGTTCCTCATCTTTCTATGAACCGTAAATCGATCCATTTATGCTTAACCCCATAGGATAAAAAAGCAACCGTTTGTAGGTATTTCCCATAATAAAACTATAACTTTAACTCCGCATGTCACCAGATGGACATGTTTGATGTCTGATGCTTAGTGAGTTAGGTTATGAATGGAAGACCAAAAGTGGTCAAATTAAAACCTCAAATCAGGATATGAGAACAATTATAAGGTGGGTGTGTAGATGTATATACTTTGTGTTGAAACACACCGATTAGCACACACAAAATGAGGAACTTCGAACGTAGCCTAAAGAGCATATGATCTGGAATATACTGCGATGTGAATCGGTTAAATATCCACAAAATCAACCAGAACAAATTACTGAGCACATGTACCCGAGGACAAAAACAACCAAGATTAAGAAAAATTGAGAGCCGATAGAATGCCACTGCTGTCCACACAGCTGACTTTCGATAATCTGATTGCACCAAAAACATCGGTTCCTCAGATGAAGCACCTAAGATCACGTTCGAAACTGATGTGATGATCACTGGATTTCACCAGAATGGCAACAACCCAGTTTTACACAAGCACCCAACTCCATTGTCAGGTTAACCTACAAGAATAAATCATTAGCAATTACATTCAGTTACAACCGAGTGTAATTATTGCAGATCCACATGTCGAGTGCCTGATCACACACGCTAGTGATACAAAAATTCGGACTGTGTCGTCCGGATTCAACCAAATGCCAGTGCGCTTCTATTGGATTCAGAGCTGGGGTCGGTCTAGTATATTTTTCATTACACATTTTCGTGTCATAAACAGGCGAACCCCATAGTCACGAGGACCTCCTGTTTAGCGATGGAAACCGGTGAACTAAGTCTCGGGACTAGGAGTGGCGGACCACATAAGACCCCGATAGGTTAGGCGTGCTATTGAACCAGACGACAGCAGAGCTGCCTACCACCAAAGTTGGGTGGCAGCGGCGGGGCTCGAACCTCGGACTATAGGGTCCAAAGCACACCTGTGACAGCGACTAAACCAGCGCGTCACCACCACCCAATGAGATCTGTTTCATTTATGGACTTCATGCGTTTATTGATAATCATCGACTTTCTTTCATTGTACAACAGACTTTCAGTAATGGGACTAAGGTCCACCAATAGGGAATCTGGGATGGGATGGTGGGATTTGAACACCGCCTACGAGTAGATATGAGGATAACTTATACTATTTGACTCCCGATTGTAATGCAGTTAGTTCATCATGTCTGTGGTTCTCACCCATTTCTGCTAATCCGACAGACTTCAACGGAGACAGAAAGCTATATTTCCAAAGAAAATCTCTTAACTATCGCTCTTCCCACTTCAGTTTATTTATTTAATTTTTTTTTAAGGAAGCTGGAACACTCATTCTCTTTCCTAACATAGTCACATAAAATCAATACAACTGGTTTCGACATTACTGTTCTCAAAAAAAAAACAATACGAACACCGTGCACTACAAGTAACAAACCATGCAATAACAAGGAGACAAAGAGCTATTAAACTCACCCCAGAGTTTGGCATGCAATTGTACACCGAAAAATTGCTGTTTTCTTAACAGTTTCAATACTGCACGCTGATCATTTTTTGATTTAAATTTGCACACTGCCGTCCTGTAAAAACAAAACAGCCGGATCAGAAGGAGAGGGGGATTAGATTTACATGAGCAAAAAACGAACAGTGTCACAAAATAGCGGATGTCCAGTTGAGTAAAATCCACAAAGCAGTTCAGTTTCAGTCTGTACAACCAATAATCGTGCACTTTTGAGCGCCGGTTTTGGTTGTCTGTTTGGATGAAGCAGTAGGAGAATGACCGGAAAGTCAAAAGTAGAGTAGAAGAGAAAATGGAGAATTTCAGTGGATCAAAGTTGAAAGGAAACTGAGAAGACGCACAACAGCTACACCACCGGTCTATTTTTTCGTGACTCAAGTTCATTCATGACCGGTCCCCAAAATGTATATAAGATGAATTGTCCGCTATCTTTGCCTTTTACGGTCGAGCAAAATATACAACCTCGCCTGAACAGTCGTCTTCCGTGTTCTCACTGGTCGGGTTTCGGGCATCGTATTGCTTTCGTGGGGCGTTTCCTTCCGGTTCTATTGGGACTTGCTTTGGGTACCGCAGTCGGGCGCGCCTGTGTACTGTCCACTATTCCACTGGGTTATACGGTTCTGTTCGTGGCCGTTACTGCCGCACGTATCGTTGGATCGCGGCTCGTGCTAGTCCAATGGTATCGTCCATTTCGACGTTACAACACCCCTTCGTCGATGTGAGCTCCCGCGAAGTATTCCGTGCCATTTGGAGAAACCTATTCTCTATCATGCACAAGCATCACTGAGAACAAACTATGCCATGATGGAGATCCGCGAGTACTTCCGAGTGGCGGTGGTGGTGCAAGTCACACTTGAAGTCAACTTCAGAAATTGACTTAGCAATCATCAATTACTAAGATCGGAAATGTCCTCAACTAGAACAGCAATCAATCAGCTGAACGTGTTTGGGTGCAGCGCAATGCAGTGACGATTAAATTTCATTTCCCCTGGTGAATAAGAGGTGTTGTCAAAGATGTGTACACAATGAATACATTAACAGAAGACTCCACCATCAAAGGCCGAATGCAGACACCAGAAATATGTGATAGGGTAGAAGCAATTATTTGTTAGCGAGGCACACTTTACAATAACTGTTAATGCGCTGTTCATACTACAGTAAATAAATGGAATTTCGGAGCACAAGCAAGAATGGATGACTGAAAACGACAGTAGGAGAGGCCAGTGAGGATATGATTTCCCAGCTTGAAAGAGGATATTGTTCTACTAAGTGACATTACATAGACAATTCAGCGGATGAGAAGGCCCCGTATTCGGTCAAAGAGGCCCGCGGAATCTAGGTGATGCCGAATCACAACGGGTCAAACATGTTGGCGATAAGAGTAGACTCATTCAATAGGGTGCTTTGCGTCTCCAAATCACATAAGACGTTCGATCAGATTGCGATCGCAATCACTTGGACTGTTCGAAATTGTACGCCCGTGGCCGCTTTTCCCAATTACTGCCCGTCGGGAATAAAGATAATGGTGTTGCATCGGGTATGGAAACTCGGATTGTGTTAGAGAAAATAACTCATCAAACACGACAATCCAGTGGAATCTGGACACCGATGAACTCACTTTGTTTGTTCCGTGCTATCCACTGAACTTCTCAAATCGATCAGTTGATGAGATTCCAACAGAACGCGTAGTTGATTATCGTCAATCTGGCGAGGAATACCCTTCAGTTTGAGGCCAAATACTTTCGGCGGTGTGCTGATACTTAGCGGTTTGGATTCGGATTCTTTGACTTGGAATCCGATTCCGGGGACACAGCGTAAAGGACGACCGTCAATCTGTCGACCACGGCAAGCGTCGCGGACAATACGACAATCATCCACAGAGTCAAAATGTAACAGACAGGACCTGGAAGAATGTGAAACACGTCAGAATGATCACATCGAAGACGAAATGCGTAACCTTAAATGAGTCAGAACAGTCACAAATACCCAAAATCGAGTCAGAGTCCGGTGAAAGTCAACCACGAAATAAGGACAGAGCTCCCTGCTTCCGTATGGACAACAAGACAAAGTATTGGAAGGAGCGTATGAACTAAAAAATGGTCACCGGTCGAACAGTTATCAACAGCCATACGATCCTCACAGTTTTGGTCGGGATGTGCAACCTAGAACATAAGCCAAACGAAGCTTCATTAACTTCATGAACTGTCTGACTAAAGAACACGCTAGGCGTCCCAGGGGGAGCAACAGGCATTGTATTCTCCCAGTGAAAGAGGTGCCCAATATGCTGATTGGAAAACACCAAACAATCTATCTCTCCATGCATTGTGTTCGAACGTCATAATTCTCAAAGAGAGACGAGAAATCAGTGCATGAAAAAGCTTTCCTTGTACGATTAATGAGCGGTGGCGACCCAGTAGTAACATCAACAAATTATCACCCCGGAGAATGTGCTGGAGTCCCAGCACCACCGCCTGACTTTCCCCATTCTGTGTGTTCTATGGCATCCCTTTAATTGGCTGCTTCCCCTTCCTAAAAGTTATATCTTTGTAAGTAAACTGATAAAAAGGAAAGTCAAATAATGTGCCCATTAGAGATGTCTTTCTCCAACTGTGGTTTATGAACATGGCCTACTGGCTGTATTCAAGCGGACCAGCTGACCACTACGATAAGCATGGAGTCACCCTTGCTGAAAGAACCAATAGTTTACACAAGTTGTTTGTGTTGAGTGCTCTACAATGATGAAGGTGAGTGATGCCCATGTATAATTTAGGTCAAATTGGAGGTTGACCTTTGATTACATAATGGCAATCGCTGGTCGACACCAATGCCATTGTGCTCCAGTGGTGCTTCTGAAAGCCTCAGTATGGTCGGAGGTGAATGCCTGGGGTTGCAGCTCGTAACCCCTCTCTTACACCTCGTGAAATGCTCCTAAACAACCAAGTGTCTCAAATAGTCTGTGCTGAGGAAGCCCTACTCACGGCCCCCTCGTGGTAGAGGTGTTTTTCCAACAAATTGGTAGAAAATGCAATAATTGAGGTTAGAACAAGACCAGTGAACCACTGGCAATCCATCTAGATCAGCTGCCTAGAAACCCTGATCCGAACGAACCGCACTCACCCACGCTTAGTCGCGGCGTGGAACCCCGGCTCGATCGGGTATCGAGTTGTATTGGGCACCTTGAACCTTTGACTCGGTCCGAAGGATGCATGGTCCCACGAAATGCACATCGGTCCCTAATGGATTGCTGTTTTCACACCAGCCCGCCGCCTTGCGGGTCAGGCTTTGATTAACCGAAGGCTCCGGACGTGAATTCCCTAAAAAAAATTCAACTGTTTGACCTGGACCATCTGGCGGTATCGTCCCCACAAGCAAATTTTGCAACTATTTACTTTTTATAAAGATTATTGTACCGTGGTTTGTTCGGCACACAGTTCCAAATTCTCTCTTCGTTCAACTTCTTTATTCTCTCCTTCCCCCCTCCAACACACACACACACAAACACACACACACAAACACACACACAAACACACACACACAAACACACACACACACACACAAACACACATTTATCTGGTAATTCTAACCAACTGCGTTCCACAGACTGCTTCCCTTCTGGAACTGCCTGTAACCTCTTCTTTATGCTGGTCCCCTTTTATAGCCCAACTTTCTTCTCGTTCTGCATGCAAGGTTGGTTTTTTTATTCCACACCAGACGACTTTTCACCCCAGTTCATCTACTGCACAACGCTCTGATCCAACCTGCTCTAGTATACTGTAGCCACGTGTGGGGTTGAGCTTCGTCATATTTTTACCTTCTTGATTGTGTTCAACGAAAGACCATCCGGCTGATCGAT